CCAGTTGTTTTTGGAAAATTAAATCATCTACTACATCTAACTGTTATATAACCTGCACATTCTTTTTTAAAAAAATATATATTTCTTTATTGACTTCAGAGAGGAAGGGAGGAGAGAAAGACAGAAACATCGGTGATGAGAGAGAATCATTGATTGGCTGCCTCCTTACACCCCCTACTGGGGATCGAGCCCTCAACCCAGGCATGTGCCCTTGGCCAGAATAGAATCTGGGACCCTTCAGTCCACAGGCTGATGCTCTATCCACTGAGTCAAGCCGGTTAGGGCCTGCACATTCTTTAATGTTGAGAACAGTTTGGTTTGTGTGTTTTTCTGTAGTCAGCTGATCCTCTCTTATAATGTCAACCACATGGAAAGTGCTTAGTAAATTCTTAAATTGATCATTCATATGCAGGACTTAGAAATAAGGTAAAGGGAGATATGCTTGATTTTATGAGGCATGGGAAATAATTGCTGGATATTTTTAGTGAAATACAAGTCACATTTAAATAAGGTAAATCTTATTATCTCAAGCATGTCATTTTAGCAGGAATTAATTTACTCTGCCATAACATCTGAGAACAAGAAATGGAAGGAAGAAAATTCTGACACATAATACAGATGAACGTTGAGGATATTATGCTAAGCGAAATAAGCCAGTCACAGAAAGAAAAATATTGTATGATTCCATTTTTGAGGTAAATAGATTTCACTTCTTAGAACCACAAAATAGGATGATGGTTGCAGGGGCAGGGGAGGGGGACATGGGGAATTGTTGTTTAATGGATAGACTGTATAGAATGTAAAAGCTCTGGAGATTGTGCACAGAGCAATGTGAAAATGCTTAACACTACTGAACTGTACACTTAAAACTGGTTACGATGGTAAATTTTATGTTACATGTATTTTGTTACAATTAAAACATCAGACAAACAAAAACACGTCCCAACCAAACTCAGTACATTTATTCCCCAAACTGCTTCTCTTTTGATTTTCCAAATCTCAGTGACGACCACTTAAGTGGGCATTAATCTGAATTGTTTCCTCTGCTTCACTCGCTATGTCAATCCAGTCACCAGGCTTTCTGGCCCTGTCTCCTTAACATTTCTTAGACACCCCTAAATGTCTATGACTGTTACCAGACAAGGACCTGCCCTGAGCAGGTCTGCCTCAGGCCTGCCTGGAGTGCTTGGGTTCTTGACTTTGTGTAGGAAAGATTTCACAGCAGGAGTCCAGAGGGGTTTGGAGGTATGTTTATGAATGCTGAGGGCAGCGAAACAAAGGAAGAAATTAGGGTGTGAGAAACAGCTGCGGAGAGCCCAGGCGGTGCTCTGCTCTGGCTCTCTAGAAATGTTATAGAAAGAAGCGAGCCAACAAAGGGCTGTGACTAGCTCACTGCGAAGTCAGAGAAAAGGGGGCCTTGATAGGATCTGGGGTGAGACCGGGTCGAACTGCAGCTGCCCACTGTTCCCCTGGTTGCAGATCTCATGGGGACCCTTAGAAAAAAAAGTTCATGCTTGGGAAGGGGCATGGGTGTACTCTAGAGTGAGCCCACATTGAGTCTTTGTCCTGAGAACTTTTTCTTCTTTTTTTTTTTCTTCTTCTTCTGCAGGTGAGAACCTTACAGAAGGATTTTAATAGAATATTCATCAGCTTTCCAGGTGCATTTTTTATAAGTCGATGCATCAAAATGAGTGTATAGGGGAGTTTTGGATTATTCTTTGGTCTGTTTTAGTTTTATCGTAGGTCTGTCTGGCTTTAGTCGAGTATTTCTTATTTGTACCCCAACTTTATCTGTCCTTGGGTATAGCTGGCACAAATGGTATTCATTGGGTCTTTGTTCTCTATTTTCCCAGCCCAGGATACTATAAGCTATGTATTTTCTGGTTAGGGAGGAGGGTATAAGCCATTTGCTTTCAAGTGTCCTTGGTTAGGGAAGATAAGGTCTTGCAGTTCACAAGCTGGCTGTAAGTTGCCCAAACTGTTCGGCCTTGTTTAATTTTCTTGTCTCAGTTTCTTCATTCCACGTGCACAGGGATTTTCCTAACTTCTTACTATCCTACTACATCACCTGTACTTATCTACTCTAGCCTGAGCGGTTGCTGTTACTGTTCCTAACTGCACTCAGCTCAAAATCTTACTGCATTCAAATAATTGTCCATGTCTTTACTAAATTTTTTTCTGCAGTCCAAATGTGAACAAATTATTTCCACTCCTAAAAATACTTTAGTAGTTCCCTCTTGGCTCCTACTATTTAGAATAAAAAATAAGACTCACCCTAATCTAGTTTCTTTTCTAGTTCCTAGCTCCTATTTCTTCTTGAGTGTCTCTATACAATACACTCCAGCTGTACTGAACTATTTGTAGTTGCAAAGAACATGTTGTATGGTTTCATGACTAGCTTTGTTCATGCTGCATTTTCTTCCTGGACTGCCAGGAATGCTCCTCTCCACCTGGTGAACACCTGGTTTTCTTTGAAGGCAACTAAAAACTCATTTTCTATATGAAACTTCTGACCACTTCCCTTTTTTACTTCACCCAGTCAGAATTTATTTTCCCCACTTTGCAAATTTTAGGCATTAAAAAAAATTCATCACTTTTGCAACATTTTATTGCACTTGCTTGCTTTACGTGTTTGAGTTCTTTTTTTAAAAAAAATCTTTATTGTTGAAAGTATTACATATGCCCCCCCCACCCGCCATTGACCTCATCTAACCATGCCCTCACCCCACTCTCCCACCCCACTCCCCCAACCCCAGGCCTTAGCTGCCCTATTGTCTGTGTCCATGAGTTATGCATATACGCATGCAAGTTTTTTGGTTGATCTCTTCCCACCCACCCATCCTCCCCAGCCTTCCCTCTGAGATTTCCCAATCTGTTCCATGCTTCTGTGTATGAATTCTTTTAATTCAGGTGCTTTTGAAGGCAAGGGTGTCTCTCCTCCTTCCCTCCGCACTCCGCACCCCCACCCCCCACCCGCCAAGGGCAAGAATCTTAGGGGAGGATTTCAGCAGAATATTCACCAGCTTTCCAAGTGCATTTTTAATGTGCTAATGCATCAAAATGAGGGGATAGCAGAGTTTGGGATCATTCTTTAATCTGCTTTACTTTTATAGTGGGTCTGTCTGGCTTTAATGGGGCTTCTGTTATTTGTTCCTCTAACTTCATTTGTCCTTGGGTTTAGCTGGCACAATTGGCATTAATTGAGTCTCTGTTCTCTACAGTGGGGCCTTGACTTACGATTTTAATTCGTTCCGTGATGGAGCTCGTAACTCAAATTACTCGTATGTCAAATAAAAAAGTGAAGGAATGAGACACGTGATGCTGGGCTGATGTTGTGGCGTTCACTGTGAAGTTCGCTGCGTCAACTAGCGGTGGGGTATCTGAAGCTGGCTCGTAACCCGAATTTTAGCTCACAACTCAAAGCAAAAAATCGGCTGAGCGACAGCTCGTATCTTGAAAAACTCATAAGTCAAGGCCCCACTGTATTTCCCAGACCAGGGTGATTTAAGCTATATATTCTCTGGTTAGCGAGGGGAGGTATAAACCATTTGCTTTCGAGTGTCCATGATTGGGGAAGATTAATTCTTGTGATTCACAAGCTAGCTTTAAGTTGTTCAAATTGTTTATCCTTGTTTAATTTTCTTGTCTCAGTTTCCCTATTCCACTTGCCCAGGAATTTTCTTAGCTTCTTACTATCCTGTCACAAAAAGATCTAGGATAGAAGGCAGAGATGGAGAGGCACCATGGCTTACTTCTTTTTATATCCCCAATGTCCAACACAGTGTCTGGAATATTGTACAAGTCTATTAAAAGTTGGTTGGCTATATTATTTATTCTATGGTTATGAATTGAACATTATTTTACAAACATTTATTGAACACCTATTACATTGTAGCAGAATAGATACGTTAACGAAAACAAGTATGTTAAAACTCATCCCAAGTCCTAGCCAGTTTTGCTCAGTGGATAGAGCATTGCCTGTAGAGTGAAGGGTCTCAGTTTTGATTCCAGTCCAGGTCATAAGCCCAGGTCTTGGGCTCAATCCCCAGTAGGGGCCATGCAGGAGGCAGCTGCTCAATGATTCTCTCTCATTATTGATGTTTTTATCTATCTCTCCCTCTCCCTTCCTCTCTGAAATCAATAAAATATTTTAAAAAAACCTCACCCCATGATATGGCAAGCACTTATCAGAGATATCAACTGTATGTTTTGTATTGGAGGACTGAGAAGGAAGATAGGATGATGATAGTAGTGGTGGTGACTTAGGAATATCCTCATTTGGAAGGTGAGGATACATTGATACTTCCTTAGAGATGAGCACATCTCTTTAAAAGTAAGGATGAGAAGGGGTTGGATTTTCAAATTTTTGAAGCAGACTAAGACTTATTGACAATGCGATGAGGGAGGAGAGATGGAGAAAGCGAAAATGAGACCAGGAGATTGTTTATGAGGCCTGTGTGCAACAATGTTCAGTTAGTTGTTTTAGCTCAGGCTGCTCTCAGTTTATTCATTCATTTATTTAAAAAAATATTTTTATTGATTTCAGCGAGGAAGGAAGAGGAAGAGACAGAAACATCAACGATGAGGGAGAATCAGCTGCCTCCTGTACGCCCCACACTGGGGATCAAGCCCTCAACCTGGGCATGTGCCCTGACAGGTAATCCAACCTGGAACCTCCAGGTTCATAGGTTGCAGCTCACCCACTGAGCCACTCCAGCAGGGCGGCTACTTTGAGTTAAGGTGGAGAAAGGGGCTGTACTTTTAAAGAGACGTGCTCATCTCTAAGGAAGTATCAAACTTTGTATCCTCAGGGGCCGGGAAAGGTTATCTGATCAGATAGGGAGATGAAAGAACGTAGTTCATCTATTCCTAGGCAGCTTCCCCCTCTCCCTCAACTTTCCAGGAATCTCTGAGCCCCGGAGCCCCGCCCAACTTCTTACAGGAGCGGGTGTCCGGTCCTGCCAATCACGCCCCGCGACGTCATCACCGTGCGCAGCCTCTGGACGAGTAGGACACGGCCCCGCGTGTACCGAGTTGACTGTCAAAGTCTCAAAGAGCCCAATTCCCGGAAGCTGTGAGTTCTGAGGAAAGTTTTAGTCCCTGAGAGTGCGAATCCCCAACGATGAGCGCCCCGGGCGTACAGTCCTTTACCCAGCAGGGTTGGGAGCAGGTGCTGGCCAAAGCGAAACGGGCCGTGGTCTACCTGGACGCCGCCTGCGCCGAGAGCCTGCACTGGGGTTGCGGACCCACCCAGCTCCTTGAGGCGGTGGGCGGTCCTGCGTGCCACCTGCGGGAGTTCGAGCCCGAAGCAGTGGGCGGCGGAGCTAAACAGCCCAAGGCGGTGTTTGTGCTGAGCGGCCTCCTGAAAGGCCGAACTGTGGAGACTCTACGGAACATCATCTGCCGCAGTCACTTCCAGTATTGTGTGGTGGTCACTGCCGTGGACCACGCTGTGCACCTCACGGCTAATCACGTGCCCGCGGCCGCAGCGGCTGAGCTGGAGGGGCAGCAGCCAGTATTTGAGCAACTGGAGGAGAAGCTGTGCGAGTGGATGGGCAACATGAACTACACCGCCCAGGTGCTGCACATCCCGTTGTTGCTAGCCCCTGCTGCTCCCTGCCTTGCCTTGACTCCGGCCTTTGCTTCCCTTTTCCCACTGCTACCCCAGGATGTGCATCTTCTTAATAGTGTCCGACCGGACAAGAGGAGGCTGGGGAGCCTGGGTGAGGTGGATGCCACCGCCCTGCCCCCTGAGCTGCTATTGCAGATCAGGTGCCTGGTGTCGGGCCTCAGTTCTCTGTGCGAGCATTTAGGAGTGCGGGAGGAATGTTTTGCTGTAGGCTCCTTCAGTCGGATCATAGCTGCAGATCTGGCCAATTATGCTCCTGCCAAGAACAGGAGGAAGACTTCAACGGGCAGGGCCTCCCTGGTCTTTGTGGACAGAACCCTGGATCTCACAGGTAAACGGGATTGTTGTGCAGGTCTTCATAAGCACTCCCCAAGGTTCTGGGACTTTCACTGGTTCAGCATATATTTTATCGACCTCCTACTGTTTGTCAAGTTGAGGATACAAAGATGGACTAGATGGACACAGTCTCTGATCTCACAGAGTTTATAGTCTCTCTAGAGCAGTGGTTCTCAACCTTGGCTGCACATTAGAATCACCTGGGAATCTTTTGAAAATCCTGATTTCTGGGCCTCATCCTCCGGAAATTCTGTTTCTTTGTTACTAATGATGAGGCCCAGAAATCAGGATTTAAAAAAAATCCCAGGTGATTCTAATGTGCAGCCAAGGTTGAGAACCACTGCCTTAGAAGCACTCATGCTGGCTCTGTCTTAAGTCACTTTTATAAGTCTGATTATAAAAGGGGAGATCTGCTATTCCTTGTCAGGTCTTCAAGCCCTTCTTATGATCTTCATCAGTAAACTTTGGCTCTCAAATTTCAATATAGTATCATCCTATGACACCATTTACCTGGCTGACTATATGCTGATTATTTATACATTCAGTATTTATTGATACCCATCATGTCATTAAAATGTTAATTCAGCTTCTTTTTCCTCCCATTTTGTGAGTTCATATTTTCTGTCTGTTTAAACAGGAGCCGTTGGACATCATGGAGACAACTTGGTAGAGAAGATCATTTCAGTGCTTCCCCAGCTCCCCGGCCACACCAATGATGTGATGGTTAACATGGTAGAACTCACTGCACTGCAGAATGAAGAGGAGAATCAGAAGATGGTTGCACCAGGCTGTCTTGCACAACCCAAGTAGGATAAGTAGATTTTTCCCCCCTCTCCTCTTGCTCTCTTGCCTTTTCTTTCTCTCCTAGAATGTTCTGTAGAGAGAAAAGCAATGAAGAGTTAGTTTGGTTGAAAAATTCATTGTGGGTAGCATTTAAAAAACCCACATTTTTTTTTTCTGACCAGAATAACCATATCCAATAAGCAACAAAAAGTCTAGGCTTTTTCCATTTCTCTTTCTCAGTTGACTTTTCCATATGATTAAAAAACTGTCCACATAGCTATGAAACAGTGCTATTGTATATATGTCAATAGTATGCTCTGGGCATTAATGGGAACAGTTTTTATTTCTGTGTATATTTTTCACATGCTTAGAGAAATTAGAGAACAAAGATGGTGTACTTTATGTTATGCAGAGTTTCAAAAATAAAAGAACATTTTTTTCAGAAACAGGACAATGAAAAGATACAATAGTAACCTTTTCTACTTTGTCCTTCATCAACAATTCTATGAGGAAAAAATGCATCAGAAGGGGGGAAGTGTCTGAGTATCTGTTCCCCTTATCTTCATGTTTTTATTGATTTTTTACAGAGAGGAAGGGAGAGGGATAGAGAGTTAGAAACATCGATGAGAGAGAAACATCGATCAGCTGCCTCCTACACACCTCCTACTGGAAATGTGCCGCAACCAAGGTACATGCCCTTGACCAGAATCGAACCTGGGACTTTTCAGTCCGCAGGCCAACATTCTATCCACTGAGCCAAACCCGTTAGGGCTTTGTCTTTAGTTTTTATACAAAACAAAACCTTTCAACACCATAGATTCAAATATCAACCTTAAAGGATACATTTGGAATTTCCTATCATATTTGGAATTAATTTTCAGCTCTTGAAGTTTTCAACTTTTTTGTAGATTAGTAAAATTGAATGATGAGTGTGTATGATCCACTGTGGGAAGAAAACTGAAAGTTCTGTAGCCTATCTTTTGTAAGCTTATACAACAGTAAAAAAAAAAATGGGCCATTTGCTAACTTCAGCAGCACATAACTTAGCTGTTCAGAGGGCCATTCAAAAGTGAATTCCTAAGGACTTGCTGAGCCTCACTCTGGACTAGGGACTATGAAGAACATAAAAGAATATGAAATAAAATTTTTGACCTCCAGGACACTTATTTTTTGGTTGGGGTAGTCATGATTTACATATAGGTACAATTAAAAATAATGTAAATCCAGACTAATAGAGCTGCTATAGATTATATACTTCCTACAAACAAAGTATAGGGTTAATGTAGATCAATGTGAAAGTTGTGGTGCTTGAAATAATGTTTTAAAGGATTTAAAAAGGTGAGAGGGCCAGGGTGAGCATAGGTATGGAAACAAGACAGTCAGGGGTTGTGAGGAAGAAAGATACTTCATTGGACTACCATTGTCATCAGCAATATTAACATTTTTTTAGGACTTACTATGTGCCAAGCACACTTCCAGGCATTTTACATTTGGGAAATCATTTAAGTTTTACAGTAACCCAGTTGAGGTAGTTGTTGTTACTCCCCCATTTTAAAGGAAAGGAAACTGAGGCAAAGAGACAGTAAGCAACATTGCTAGCAGGAGGTGAAGATAGAATTTCAGCCCTGAATGTTTGACTTGCAAGCCATTGTTTTAACTTCTATGCAGAGGCCAGAGAAAAGTTGGCTTTTGAATAGATATAAAGAGACAAAAGTAAGGTTACTTCATGATTTAATTTGATAAGGCCTATTTGTTCAATATAATGTTTATACAAACAACACAAATCAATTTTGGCTAATTTCAGCAAAAGGAATTTATTAGAGGAGATTGGATAGCTAATGGAATCAAAGGAAGGACTGTTAATCCAATTTTGGAAAGAACAACCAGTTTCAGGGGTCTAGGGCAAAAACTTGGGAAAAGCCTGCTCAAGGCCTTACCCTAGAGAGACTGAATTTTAACTGTTTTCTATCTGAGTCATTCTCCTGAAGATTCATGTTCCAGGGGAAAGGTAAGATTGGCCCAATTTGGGCCTCGTGCCACCATTTGCTCAGTGGGGTTGGGACCAATTCATAGTGACTGAGAATTGTGACAAGATTGTATGGCTTGCCCTAATTGGTTTGGCTCAGTGGATAGAGCATTGGCCTGTGGACTGAAGGGTCCCAGGTTTGATTCCGGTCAAGGGCATGTACCTTGGTTGCAGGCATTTCCCCAATAAGGGGTGTGCAGGAGGCAGCTGATCAATGTTTCTCTCTCATCAATGTTTCTAACTCTCTATCCCTCTCCCTTCCTTTCTGTAAAAAATCAATTAAAAAAAAAGATTGTATGGCTTGGTGGAGGGGAAGTTCTTCAAAGGAAAACTGAAACATTTGACAAAAGAAGGGGAAGGAATGCTGGGCAGCTAAAACCAGTAGATGCCCCTTAATAAAAATACCACTTATAGAGTACTTATTGTGTAACAGGCATTGTTCTGATCACTTTATATATAGTACCTAGAGGCCCAGTGCACAAAATTCATGCACAGGTAGGGTCCCTAGGCCTGGCTGGTGATCAGGGCCAATCAGGTTCCCCGCCTCCCCGCCTCCTCCTTCTCTCACTCCCTCAGTGCCCCGCTGCTGCCGCTGGTTTCCTGCCATGTTCTGCACCGCCCCCTGGTGGTCAGTGCATGTCATAGTGAGTGATCAAATTCCTGTTCTGGTTGAACTCCTGAGGGGACACTTTGCATATTAGCCTTTTATATATATAGGTTTATTTAATTCTCACAACATCCCTAACATAATTACAAAAAGAACATGTGACTTCCCAGAGAAGTTTGCAAAGAGAAGAGTAGAATCCATTGTTAATGAACAGGAAAAGCAAGTAAAATTCTGAGAAGTGTGGTGAAACAACTGTAAGAATCAAGATATGGCTTAGATCTACAACTAACATTTTGATTATGGTCTATTAAATAACTTTGACTCTTCAGTCCTCCTTCTGCCCCAAGCTTAGTCACAAGCTTAAACTGAACCAGTCTTGAAATCCCATTTCCCTTGCCAGTGATTGCTTTAGAAATGGGGAGGTAACAAGTGAATCTTCTTGGTCAGATTTCTTTGCTTCTGAAAAGAGACTCAAACAAAAGACACACTTTCCCCTTTCCCTTATCCTCCTCCCTCAATGGCCAGGACTCTGATGTAAATCCTGAATCTGCTAGGCCAACTTGCTCACATCCAGAAGTTGAAACTAACACTTGGAAGGTGGAGTGGCCACAGGAGCCACAGAGAAGAGAAGCAATGGGGTTACTGTGTCTGGACCACTATCATCCTATCTAATAAAACAGAAACATGGTAATTGGCGTACGACCGCTACCCTTCCCATTGGCTAATCAGCGAGATATGCAAATTAACTGACAGCCAGGCTTGCTTGCTTCAGTGACGGAGGACTCCAATGTTCCTCGCCTGCCTGCCGCTGCAGGTCTCTGAGCTGCAAGCAACTATGTAACAAACATAGAATCTAAACAAAACCCCAGCAACCAGC